AAAAAAAAAAGTTACTCTTCTCTGTTTCTTTTGCTATTTCCTGACATAAATTTATGTTGTAATAAAATGATTTGTTGAATTTGATCGGATTTACAGTCTCAGTAAATTAGCTTCTTATCACATAATAGACGGTTTTCTACTTTGGTTATTTACAAGTCTGAAAACAGGAGAACATAGAGATGACAATAAACTACTTCTGTACAAATAAAAAATGAAACAAAAAACAAAAAGATAGGCATCATAAACAACCGTAATTCTTTTTCTGACTGTTTTTTTCTGTTCTATTATTACCTCAATTTTGCTATAAAATTTAGCTCTTATTTAGACTTCATTGGATGAGCAAACCAAATAAAAAATTGAAATTATCGGATTGATGATGGCGTTGACAAAGTTTTACTGTTATAATCTGTATATTATACGACAAAATGTTATTCATTTTCTTCTCAATTAATCCATTTAGGGTAATTTTGTTTTGCTTTGTTTGTTGACTTTAAAAAAAAATATATGTATAAATTAAACAGTTTAGCGAAAATCATTTTACGCTTTTTTTTTCCGCTTTTTGAAAACAAAAGATTCGTATAAATATTTCATATAATAGAGGAATTGTTAGAGCAATTTTTTTTTTTTTCTGAGTTTTCTGCTACAACTGACAAATCTGTTCATTCATTGTAACCGGAAAAGTCAGTTTGGCGATGTCATCAACGGTTGCCGTTCTCATCGTTTACAGTTTTACAATTGTAATAATATTCGGTAAACAAAGTAGAATACAATCAAATCTTATTTTTCTCTGTTTTATTAGCAAATACAAAAAAAAATTTTTTTTTGATAAAAGTGAAAAGAAAGCTTTGTTTTCTGCTTTTTTAAGGTCGACAAAGTACCACTGTTCTGCGTGCAGTAACAAAGGACACTGAATTGGATCAATTAACCAATGGAAAAAATGCTGATTACGCTAACACAAAAACAATATCAGGTTCCAACTTTATCACTTTTGATCTTCTTTTTCAGTAATTTCTTTAACTTGTCAGATTTTTTTCTTATTCTGATTATTACCTTTCATATTTGATTAAACTTGTGTTAAAATTCATTGTTTCTCTTTACAGACTTATCAAAAAAATTTAACACATTTATTGCACCCAAGATAGAACCATATAATTCAACATTTTGTAGTCCATTAGGTTTGTTTGCTTGATATTTCAAGATTTTTTTTTTTTTTGGTTTTATGGTAAATCTAATTGATGAAGAAAACAATAGAGTATTTGAAAAAAGACAGTAATTTCAAAAGGTTGTTGCTTGAGTCGAAACAGCAACATAACTTTTTAGTTGTTTTTAAACTCAATATTTTGATAAATTTATTTCTTCAAATATACAAAACAAACACATACGGAATTTAACCACAGAAATAATAGGTAGAAGAAAAACAAATTTCTTAATGTAAATTTAGTTATTAAATGTGTCAACTAAATTCTACGCTTTAGAACCTGAAGTTTATGGATTACCAAGTGACGGACCAGAAGTCATGTATGAACAAAGTAAACGAAATTTGAGCCGTATAATTCAACAAAAAAAACAGATTTTTCTTCGGTACTGTACGCCAACGGCGATGCTCAGAAAAAAAATTGTACAAAAATTATGTATGTCTACCAAATTAATTTTGATGAAAGCAACACAAAATTATAACGATATAACAGCCCTATGGGATGCTTTGCAACTGGTAAAAATTATTGCCAAAATTACCGGCTGTAAGTTATAACCAGTTTTTTAAAACTCGAAATTCTTTTTGCTGTCGTTGTTGTTGTTCTCAAAACTTTTTCTAAATTCATAGATTAAAAAACATTGATCAGAGAGTAATATAAAACAGAAAAAAAAAAGTGAATGATTATTTAAATGTATTACTCCAACAGTGATATCCATTTTAAGCCTTCGATATGAGTGGACCAAATTATTTATTCTGCAGTTATATCAACGTTCGTAATCGTATTTTTGTCAAATATCATGAATTTATGCAATGGATTGCTCGAATGTTGGATACTGTTGCTGAACTAAAATTCCTCAATGAATCCACTTTCTGCTGCTAAATTCAATGTTCAAAAAACATGTCGAAAAACGGGAAAAAAATTTTTTTTTTCGAGATACTTAGCTGCTACTGCTCAATAATAAGTTTAATTGTATTAAAAAAAAACCTGTATATAATGCAAATTTAAAATTTTGATGTCATTAAGAAGCATTAAATGCTTAATAAAACAAATCTTTTGTTGTTTCTTTTTTGCTAATATTTACTGTAATTCATGGTTATTATTAATAAAATAAAATATAAACACATAACTTCAAACAAGCCATAGGTTTGAAGGGTCATACTGAGATGAGGTTTAAACAGTTTAAAAATTTGTCAGTATCTCAGTGGAAGATCTAATTGGAAGCAAAAACAACAGTAAATTACTTTTCTTTACGAATAATTCTCCGTCTTCAGATTATAACGACAAAACTACTAAGTCAACCTAAATTAGGTTTCTAAAAACATTGCTGATGAATGCAACTGCTAAAGTTACATAGACTTTATGGTACAATGTCTGATTTGAACCAAAAATTTATTCCAGCACACTGCTGAATTTTTTGGTACACTTTCTTCAAATTTGACTTCCAAATAAAGAAAAATCCTAAAAATTGGTTCTGATTCTGTGACATTTTATAACGTTAAATAATCTTCCGTATGCTCATGGGTTTTGAGTTATCCCAAAAATATCTGTTGCCATGAAAAGTGTTTGGCAGTTCCTTGTGTAAACCTCCGCTGTCTTATTTCCTCACATCTGTTGCATATTCACCGCACTTAGACAAATTTCTACTTTTTTTTTTAAGTTTCAGCAAGGTTTAACAAAATTATAAAAGAAAGGTTACCAGGTAACTGATTAAACAAAAAAATCAAACCAAAATTAACTCAATTTTTTCTTCATTATAGTGTCTGCCAGTGAATATAATATTTCAGAAGACAGAAGAAAAACGTGTCGTAACGGTTTTCTCAAAAAAAAAAAAAAAATTAGGTGAGAAAGAATATTCATAACACTAACGGAATAGTCACTGTAATAGTTTTTGATAAAAATTTGTCATAATTAAGTACATCAAGCAAAAAAAAGTTGATAGTACTTTTCTAGCAAATGGTAAAGTTTCTTACATCTCATGTAAAACTAGGATGTTAAAAAACAATCAACGACATACAGTGAACATAATTTGCACATTGAAATGCCTATGAGTTTGATGGTCCTGTTCAGGAACTAAATCGTCAGTGACTTCAGCTCTTATTCAGGTCATTAATTAATAGTTCAAAAAAGTTATATACTGTCTGGTCTACTACCGAAAAAAAAAGAGGAAAAATTTGCTCATAACATTATTTAGAAAAAATATCAGTTTATTAGTTTTAATTACAGCTCTATGTAAGCTATAAAAATCAACTGTAGAAGATCTTGACAAGGTGTTAGAAGAAATCTATGTTTGCCTCACACACCTACACCTACACTGATCTTCACAAGGGTAACACGTAATTTTCAGTTATTATCACTGTGACCTAATATCACATCCAGTGATACATGTAAATTTATTAGGTTATGTGCTGCATACAAAAGCACTCGTAATTCTACTAAGTTAGTCAAAAACCGTCTTCTTTTTCTACGCTAAAGACGTCTTTTGCAAATACTGTATATGCAATTTTCATCTACTGAAACTGTTGTCAAAGAAGAATGAAACAGTTTTTTTCGTTATTCGTTATTTTGTTAACGTTTGTAGAGACTGAGTCTCGACCAACAACTGCTTTAGCGCAATTTCCAATTGTCATCCAAATAAGCAATGAAACAGAAAAAAGTGAGTTAGACTTTTTAAGATATTAAAGAAAAAATTTTATTTTGTTTATAATAAACATTAACATCAGTTTAGGTGGTCAGTCGCTGGCAAACTTTGGAACCGCATTGGAAAAGTACGGTAAAGCAATTTTGGAGCAAAAATCAACGTATCCGACCAAAAAAGCAAAAAGTTAGTCATTTTACTGTTTTATTCAGTAGGTGTTTAAGATGCTGTCAAAACTTATTAACAAAACTTGTTTCGCAACTTAAACTGACTGTTACTTTGGTTATAATGTAATTTTGCAACATTTCAACAGCAGTATCTTCTACAGTTATTTATCGAAAAAATTTTCTGTTTGAAATAATGAAAAGAAAATTTGAAGACAGAAATATTTGGGAAAATACCATTTTCAAATTTTCAGAAATATGCCTGGGCGAATTTTTAAAATATTCTTTAAACTTGTATTATATTTTTTTAAAAGTTTTTTTTTCTTTTGTGAACATTTTTTCTCAAATGAAATAACGACTAAGTGAAAATTTCCGTGAAATTTCAAGGCATAATTTTTTGAATTTACGTTAAAATAGCGCAAACTTTGTAAAGATAATTTTACTGCAATAATCAAATAAACTGTACACACTGATCATTGAATAACAGTTTTTTTTGGGCTAAAATTGCAATTAGAATTGATAAAGTAAACAAGTTTTATTTTTAACAAAACTAAAATGCTGGAAATTGGTGAAGCGGTTTTCAGTATAAAGTCACCAAATAACTTTTTGAGATCACAATTGTTCAAGTTTTTTTTGTATTTTGCATTATCTCTTACTCAGTAATGGTTAACCCAACAGAAATCAATGTTTTTGGTTGCAGGCCAAAAGGAGAAATATCTGTATTCATTTTTGGCCGATCTAATTGAGGAAGAAAATTTGCCATGTGTTGGTAAGTTATTCGTAACCGTGGTACTCGTAGATTTTTCATCACTTTTAGTTTATATATTTGATTCTTAATGATAGGCAATGGGAGAGGCAAATGCTGGAACATACATTAAGGTTTATTTATTAATTTCACAAAAAAAAGAAGTCGTATAGAAAGAAATTTTCCAGTTTATTATTCGCTAGGTGATCGAACAAATTTTGCAGACAAAAAAATGGAACCATTTCATCAGGTTTTCAAAAAGCAGGTCATTATAATGGATCAGTTTGCAAAAATTTTGCGCTTTTTCTTAAAAGAAGTGAGCGCTGTAAGTGAAGGACGTATCGATCTGGAAAGTAATGAGCTTGTTAGAAGATTCTTTGCCGCAATTTTCGATGAGATGAAAAATCTAAGTCAGTTAAGTTCCAAGGTTTCACAGATGGCAATGTATCGAAAACATGCCGACAGTGAGTTATCTTGTCTTGCTTCTTTTTTTTCGTTTTTTTAAATCACTGGTTTCAAGTTGCACAGCTGGCAGCAGACGTTGCAGAAATCAAACAATGTAAATGAAGAATCTGGATCAGTTCTTATGAACGGAGATCCCAAGCCAAAAGAGAAAAAAGTAAAAGGAAAAGCTGTGAAAAAAAAACATAATTTGCCAAGTTAACGTTATCCTAATTTTGCAGTTGCCAAAGCAGAACTCCCAGTTTCTGTCAAGTGTCATTACATTAGTACACGTCGAGAACTTGTCAGAGATATTCGAAAGCAAACTTCAAATCTCAAAAGTATTGTGCATCTGACAGAAGGAACAATGGAATTGGTTAATTCGGTGATGCACATGGTAAAGCCAATCAACTCAACAGATTTTTTTGACCGTTTCAACGACCTAAAAAGTCAGCTGCAAGAGCAACAAAGCCCCGCAAAAAACACCGACGAAAGAAAGAAAAAGCCGAATAAAGCTGTCTCGAATTGGGCAGACTTAGCAAAAGCTTTACCAAAATATCTATAAGTATTCGTGTTTCTGTTTTTTGAGAACGTAACTAGTTTTCTGGATTCCAATTATTTTCTTTGCAGGCACGTGAAACCAAATAATCAATTTTTTGTTGTTTTGGTATTGCCACTGCTGTTTTTCCTGTCAATTGTCTCTGCTTTCCGTCATATGTTGTTATTATTGTTTCGTTTTTTTTCTCACTGTTTTATTATTTCTATTCAGCTGTGAACTCGTTTTGACTTAAATTGTTCGGGAACATGAACTTCGGTTCTGGCTTCTGCTGTGTAGGACAATCGTTTAGGCAACTGGGAAACAATGGTCCACCGGCGAACAGTAAATAAGCGGTGAAAGGTGTTCCATGTTAATTTGTTTGATCAGCAATTTGTGGTGCTCTGTAAATAAAGTGAAAAAAAACTGCGTAGTAAATGAGAAAATCCACCTTTTAATTTTTAGTTATTAAACCTGATAAGTATGGTAATGAATATTGCATGTTTTCATTTGTATTACCACCGAACAGAACTGTCAAAAAAAAATTGGTAAATTATTCTTAAAGGGCGAGCGACAAGACGCCTCATTTTATACACTCAGCACATAATTTTGGTTTTTTTGGTCTATAATAAAACTGGTAAAGACAAGACAGGCAACTTGAACTGGTTTTTGCTGTAGCATGATTTTTCTTTTGCTTTTAACCATGCAATTTTACCCTGTGCAAGCGTCGTCGCTTAATCCTATTGGTTCTGGTCAGCAAGCCCCAACAACAAATTACAAACGCCAGAGATTAGTCTTAGTCTTCTCGCAAAATCAAATAAAGTTTAATGTGTCTTTAGTTATGACGTAAATCTAAACATTTGCGCCAGTTGAATTCATCGTCTTTTTTGAACAGTGATGAACAATACTGCTGTACCTAGAGTTTAAAATCAGTTGTTGATCGACGATTGCTTACACGTCATCAGTAAGGTCTACAAAAAAACTTTTTTTTTTTTTTTTTTTTCATACAATGTCGTTCCTGTGTCCATGTTCCTAGCCGTCACATTAGTACATCATAATCAAAGGAAAAAGATAAAAGAAAAATAACAAATAAATATTAAGCACGTTTTTTTTCACTTGTTCTTTATTTTGTGTAACTTTTTTAGAGCAGTTCCAAGCAGACAAGAAGTCTTATGTCTTTTTTTTTCTTCCCATTTCTCCTGAAGAAAGAAGGTCATTAAATGTGTAAAAAAAA